CACAATGGAAGGGGCTAGAGAGATGGTTCAGCTGTTAAGGGCACCTGCTGCTCTTGCAGAGAACAAAGGTTTGGTTCCTAGCACCCATAGTTATCTTTAAATCTGGAACTCCAGGGAATGGCGCCCTCTTTGGGATTCTAAGGAATAGGTATGCACATTTATGTGCATGCAGGCAAAACGATCTTTAGTGGTCAAGGACAGGGAGTGTGGGTGTCACTGGTAAAGGCAGGAGAAAGGGAGTGGTAAAGAAAAAAAAAAAAAGCAATGCCTAAAGAGAAATGCATTCTAAAACTCATCCATTCAGATATGTAGTTGGCTTTTCAAGACTAGCTTCTCTGCTTAAGAGCTCTGGTTATCATGGAGCTCACTCTGTAGACCAGGCTGGCCTCAAACTGATCTACCTGCCTCTGCCTCCTCCAGATTACCATTGAGCTCCTTTAAAACTTTAAAGCTCAAAATTTACATAACTTGGAACATGCTTATGCTAATTAGACCTTAGAGATTATCAGTGGGCAAATGCTTACCTTCCAGTTCCCAGAACTATCCATTGGGGCTGAACATCTAACACCCTACCACTGCCCGTTCTCAAATGTGCTAGAAAAATTGGCATGTTCCCTAAATAGTCAACCTGTTAATGCTTAACAGGATCCTAATCTTACTGAAGAAAATAGTGCTTAAGTACATCAGGGAGTTCAATGTTGGATCTGCTTTCCTGTTTGGCAGGTTCGAACAGAGACTGAATCCAGAACCTTGTGCATGCTAAGCAAATATCAGGGGCAAAACTCAGCACATGGCACTAGAGCTCTTTTCATCACGACACAAAAATATGTTCTGGTGAAAATGGAATTAAATAAAGTAGCAATTTGTGGTTCCTAATTACATAAAGCCAGTATGTGAAGGTGTAAAAATCCCAGCACCAAGACTCTCACCTGGACTATTTATACAAAAGTGGTTAGGCATCCTCACAGACCCAACAGAGGAAGTGGAATCTGAGCCAGCCTGGGTTTAGAGTTAGAATCCCAAAACTCAAATGTTATAAACTCCCCATATCTTGGGGTGGAGGCGCTCTAATACAGAGCTCAGTTCTTACCCTTACTTCATGTCTGACCAAGGAACCACCTTTCAAGGTTAAAGTTGTCACACTTAGAACTCATTTCCCCCAGTCTATACCATTTCACATGTCTCATCAACCACGAAGTCTATAAATCTTACAAACACCAATTATCCCGTGTTGCCCTTCTATTAGGTAGCAGTATGCTTTTAAGTCATACTCTTTTAAAACAAGCTCACTCTATTAAGGTTCACCCCAAACTTTTTACTGCCCATATTCATACAGTAGAGCTATAAAAACACTGCAAAGTGAGAAAACAGCACACACACACACTTCTAAAAATATTTTAATGAAAAAGTCATCTGTTAACATTTCATTATACTACAAATTAAACAACTGAATGCAATACAGACCACCTCCGCTGCCATAAAAAACATTCAAAAACGAATACTTGGCTAGACTACCGTTCCTCACAGCACCCTACCCATTCCATGCTTACCATTGTCATGCCCATCACTGTCAGGAATGTTTTAAATTGCAACATAACAGAATCATTGAAACCAAGCCCATTTCTCTGTAGCCCATGTTCTTGACATGTGAATGCAGCTCTTAGACATGTAAAATAGGAACAGTATCCCACAGGTCAAAATCACCCCATTGTTTCCTGTCCACCTTTTGTATGTAAAATGCTTTTGCAGAAATGACAGTGGAACCACATTAAGTAAAATCATTTTATTTAAGAGAATGAAAATGCCTGTTTAAAAAAAATGCATCTCTAAATCTGAATGTAAGAACCACCATTGAAAGATTGCTATCTCGAGCTATGTCATGTAAATTCAGTCCTGATTGAAATACCAAGCAAACTTAGTATAGGAAAAACATATAGGGCATCCCTGTGTGAAAATCAGTAGTATTTTTGCAAACTTGTCCTCTGAAGTTATTAAAAAGTAACCTGAATTAGCAATTTTCAAAGCCCTTTCAAGGCAGCAAAAAAAAAAAAAAACCAACAATAGCCCTTATGTACACAATCAGCAACTTATCTGAATAGTAACTCAGTTGTTCTTTGGATTTTTTTTAAGGAACATGAGTGACAATTAGGCACCACCCTTTAACCATCCCAGCATTTGGGGGACAGGCTGGTGGATCAAGTTCTAGGCCAGGACAACAGTGAGACCCTTTGTTTAGGGAATGGCGGGGACAGACACACAAGTAAAAATGACTGTTCCTAATGGTCCACATGATAGTGAACCGCTATATGCAAGAAAACCTTGAGGATGACATTCTGGTAACTGTGAAAGTTCCCCATTTTCTTCAGGGTAGAACTAGTAGCTTATTCAAAGCCGTATTCCAAAAAAATATTTTCTGGAAAGCCAAAATGACTTTCGTTTCCCTTATAGAAAATGGATTTTACCACAGATACCAATGGTGAGTGGTATGCATGAAGAGGCAACATCTGGCTTTTTGACAAATACCCATGGCCACTGCAGAATGTAACTGCCAAGTCTTAGAACTTGTTCAACAGGGTACCCAAAATAAAACTGAGCTTGAGGATCCTGCCAGTGTACCTACTAATGGGGGTAATGTTCCAAACTGTGGTATGGATTTGTAGGGGAACCAATGTTGTCATCAGGTTTTACTGTGAGCTACAAACCTTACCCAGCCAGAAACCTTCGTATTTAAGATGGTAGGAATGACATTCCTCATTTAGGCAAGTAGGGTTCTCATTCACCTGCAAATTAAAAAGATTACTCTTACCTTGCTTTACAAAAATGTACTCTTTAATTAGTGAAAAAATTCAAATTCAAGCCTTACCTAATGCTTATTGCCCTTCCTTGCAGGTCTAAATGCTAGACCTAGTGACTGTGGCAACTATCTCATTGATGTTCCAAAAGGCGGAGCTCCTTCCTGCTACTTTCTTCGACATTTCAGTTGCAATAAGCAGATTTAACTAGCTTTTGGAAAGCTGCTCACTATCACCATAGTATCTTATGCCTCCACTTCTCTGTAGTTGAAGTTCTTGCTGCTGCCTTCTCATTCTTTATTTATGCTGACTTGTCCAAACACAAAGGCTGCTGAAGTCCTGTCTTAGTGGGTTTCCTTTGATCCAGTGCTTAAAAAGCACAACTTAGGTCCTTTAAAGCTGGTTAAGTCACTCTCATGGCTTACTTTTCCACATTCTTCACAAACACTAACCTTGTACAACTTATAAACAGGTCACATACAGATTTCACCTGATTATAGGTTGTAAACATCAACTTACTTAAAATGTTTCACTATTATACTTGTTCCAGAATATAAAAAGTTGGTTAACAATACAATCGACCTCATGACATTAAAGGATACTGTCAAGGTTGTGTCCAACAATTTCACAAACAAAACCAGGAAATGTTAACCTCCCCAATTCTTTAAATCTTTATTATATGAATAAAATGACTTGAGACAATTTAGCTCAGTTTTAATATTTCCTAAGCATTTTGACCAGGTACCCAGGTTTAAACTATGAACATTGACAGTGTCCATTTATATAACCACACTTTGTTATGAAAGATGTAACCATTTTCTAACATGAGCCTATTTTCTACACTGCTTATTCACATATGCCCATTAACAAATGGAATGTTGTCTGTTACATTTATTGGTTTGTGAGTGTTTTCTGGAAAAACTGCAGTATTTGTGAAGACCAAAGTTCCATGCTAGCATTGCATGCATCCAAATATTAATAATGCACAGAGGCACAGAATTAGAGCACAAGAGAGCATATTTGAACACTAGCCCACCCCATTCCCCTTTTTATTGCTTGTTTTGCTTATACTTCAAAAACCAAGTAAAAATTTGAATTCAACGTTCAACTGCCAAAGAAAGCAACAGCAGAGCACATACTCGGGGCTTGGATGAAGTTAAGCACTAGCTGGCGCAACAGTAGACATTTTTCAAACGACCTTAGTATCTAGAACTCTTCTCAACCAGGGTCTCTGAACAAACACCAACATGTTTTAGGATGAAATATGTACAAATAACCGTGTGTTCTTTGGGGATTTAAACATTCAGGACTATCCAATTTGAACTCTTTGGGAAGTGAGGTGGCTCACACTAAGCAACTGTGCTACATTTTCTGCTGCTTTGTTTTGGACAATGACACCTTAACTATCGTTGGCTTCATCATCCAGCAAAATGTATAGGGTATAAACAGGAAAGCATGCCAGCCAGTTAGGGGTTCAACAAGTGATTTTTATTCCTCTGTTCTGAAAAATTGTGTGTGGGAAACTAAACCAAGGAAAGGGACTAGATCCGTGTGCTTTGGGGGTTTAAAACTTGGAAAGCAGAACGAACCAGGTATCCACCAGTTTGCTCAGACACAGCAGACTTGGTGGTCCTGTATTAGAACTGTTGAACTGGGAGATTAAGTATACATTCACCACCCTTTAGTAGAGGGCAGTATAAACACTTTATACCCCAAACTATTGGCAGCAGTTTTCAATGTGATCAAGGTAAATGAGGAATGGAGATGTTCTTAACACAGCTAGAACTCAATATATCTAACATACTAAATCATGATTACATTTTGAAAGAAAATGCACAAAAACCAAATAGGAACTTTTGAGATCTTTTTCATTTGAAAGTAATCTTAATGCTATTAAATTCACAAATATGCTATTTTTTTATTACCCAATCCTAATTATCTAAAACACACATTGCAAACATACAAATATCTATTCTCTCCACATGTCATCGCCCATTTATCATGGTTTTGGAAATGAGGAGAATAGATTCCCCTTAAGTTGCAAGTCAGTAGGTGTTTCTTTACAGTTAACTTTAGCAAAATTCATACAAAATAGTAATTAACAATGATCTTCTTTACTTGTTAACTCACAAGGAAACACCTTCAAAACTGCATATTTTTTGTTAAAGTTTCTGTACTAAAATGTAGAAAAACTGAACTACACAAATATTGAAAAGTTAAAAATTCCTTAATTTTTTATTCCTGGTACCACTACCACAATTTACAGGGCAATATACCTGATGTAATGAAAAGAAAAAGAAAGACAAAGCTACAACAGATAAAAGACCTCAGGAATGTACATCTAATTGACACTACATTGCATTAATCAATAGCTGCACTTTTTGCAAACTGTGGCTCTGACAGTCCTGAACAAGAAGGGCCTCCTGTTTAAGCTGCGGTAACTTTTCTGACTATGGATCATCGCTCCTTCTGTGGCAGATTTTTACAGTTCCTCTAATGCATTTAGGACGACTGTCTCAAAGTAACCTGCAGCTTTCCTGACAACTCCTCGCTCTCTCTCCTGCTAAGAACTGTAGCCTGTTGAATAATACAGGATAAAAAAATTATTACACTCAGTGAACAGTCCATATAATCTTTTATCATCATAATTTAAAAAAAAATAAGGATACCTACCCTTTTCTGCTGTTTTTTTAAAACCTTCTGCTACCATATCCACCACTTCCACCACCTGATCCATAGCCACCTGGAAAATAACACAAACAGTTCTAAATACACATAAAATGTTAAACCAAGATGGCTCTCAAGAATTCTAACTAAAAAGGACTTACCACCATAGGGACTGCCTGAGCTTCTTCCACCAAAACTGCCCCCTTTCATGGGTCCATAATTTGATTGCTGTTGTCCACTATAATTTCCAAAGTCATTATAGTTCCCACCACCATAGTTACCTGAAATCACAAAGATTTTATTTGTAGTTTACCATAATAATTTGTACAATCATGTATTTTTTAATGCAAGCATTAACATCAACCTTAGGTACTAAACTCCATTTACCAGAAGCCTAAGTGAGCTAATATAGATTTGGGGCTTAGTAAGTGAAACATTCAAGAGTACATTTCTAAGAAGCTCATTAAATTTCAGCATGTTTTGACCTTATTTAAATCATCTAAACTGTCAATGTGATTCTGATACAATGCACCTTTTAAAGCAGCAATTTAAAGTATCAGCACTCACATTACAAGTTAGGTTCAACAGTTCTCTACCAAAGCTTTACCTGTAATAATTATGGAAAACCCATGGTACAGTATGTAGTATGTTAGTACATTACAAATACATAATAGAGTAACACACCCAAAGTATTCCAAGAGCTGATACAGCACCCTATTCACCTAAGTATTCAAACATTTTGCACACTCCATTCTAAGTCTCCCCATGTAATTTACTTTTACATGTCCATTTTACTATATATTAAAGTTCCTCTTATAAACTGCAAAAAAAAAATTTTAAAGATCAAATTTGCGTGGTGTGGTCGGGAGGTGGGTGCAAAGTTTCAAAGCCATAGTCCAATACATATTTAAGGCTAGTTGGGTTATAATATAGTACCTCTTTAAAATAATATCCTATTTATTATGACAAAGTTTTGGGAATAGTTACGATCATAAAAAACTGTAAATATGCCTCAACAGCATTCAACTGTACACTAGAAACCTTATTCTATGCTATCCAGACTGATTTGGAACCGAAATTTCCCTACATGCATTATCTTAAAAATTGTTTTCTAATTGTGAAATGTATGCAGTACCCTTTTTCCCACAACTTAAAAATAATGGGCATGGCCTGTCAGCTAAGTTTACATGGATGAGCTTGTTTTTATTATTTATTTATTATGTATATAGTGTTCTGAGCACCAGATATCATTATAGATGGGTATGAATTATCATGTGCTTGCTGGGAATTGAACTCGGGACCTCCGGAACAGCAGTCAGTTCTCTTAACCTCTGAGCTACCTTCTCCAGCCCGATGAGCTTGTTTTTATTTTAGCTATTAACAATTAAAATTTCTTTCCCGTCTATCCTTAAGAATGTTTGAGTATTGCAGAGAATTAACTTAGATGGTCATTTCTGTTTATTTCAAACTTCTGTAACTTACCTCCACCAAAATTTCCTCCTTCATTGTAACCGTCATATCCTCCTCCTCCACCACCACCATATCCACCTTGGTTTCCATAGCCTGGCCCACCACCACCATAGCCTCCTCTACTGCTGTAACCAGGACCACCACCATAGTTGCCACCTAAAAAAAAAGCCACACAAAGACAAATGTAGAGGGAGGGCTCAAACACTTCTGGTTTCTACCACACTGTCACTGGGAATGTGCCACTGAACTGATTAACACTCTAAAATCTAGTCAGAGCCAAGCAATCCTGGTGGCTGAAATCTTTTTTTTTTTGGAGGGGGGGGTTGAGACAGGGTTTCTCTGTGATTTTGGAGCCTGTCCTGGAACTAGCTCTGTAGACCAGGCTGGTCTTGAACTCACAGAGATCTGCCTGCCTCTGCCTACCAAGTGCTGGGATTAAAGGCGTGCGCCACCACCGCCTGGCTGGTTGCTGAAATCCTAAAATGAGTCTTATGTTTTTTTAGCAAGTCAGTTTTCACTTAAAAAATTTTCATTTTAGCTCAACTGCTGGTACAAATAAATCATACTGACTTAAGACAACTTAAGTTAACATTTTACTTGGCAGAGAGGCTTCTTTTGTGGTAAATTTTTAATGTGGAAGGCATGACACTTTTACTGACTGATAACCCAGTAAACATCTGCCATATCTAAGTTTTACTGCATAGCATGAGGTCATGTGTCTGATTCCTGGCAATGCAGAAATTAAAGACCAAAATCTTTACATACTCACCATCACCTCCAAATCCATTATATCCACCATCACCACCTCCATAACTACCTCTGCTGCCACCACCTCCACCACCATAGCCTCCTAAGGAAAAAAAAAAAATCAAAGGTCGAATTAACACTATACCTTGAACTTACTAATAAATTTCTGATGCATTAGCACTTAAAATGTACCTTACCTCTTCCACCAAAGTTTCCACCACGACCAAAATTACCTCCACCACCTCCAAAGTTCCCTCCACGACCCATAAAATTGCCAGATCCACCACCACGGCCTGTAACACAGGTCAAAGTAGAAATTTAAAAATCTTTCTACTATTGTTCATATTTTATTTATGTGTATATAATCCTACTTACCTCTCTGTGATCCAGCAGACTGCATCTCTTGTTTCGAAAGGGCCTTTTTCACTTCACAATTATGCCCATTAATAGTGTGATATTTCTGAACTATAAGTTTTTAAGTAAAAGACAAAACAAAGTTATTTTTGTTTGGAAAATCATGTAAGTAAAACCCTTTGTTACCATGCAAGTAACTAAAATACTATTAAATTGGCAGACTGAGAAGGAGAGAGGATATATGGGGAAGAAATGATTTTGTTTGTTTCTCAAGACAGGGTTCCTCTGTGTTAACAGCCCACACTGTCTTAGAACTCACTCTGTAGACCAGGTTGGCCTCCAATTCAGAGATCCACCTGCCTCAGCCTCTGGGTGTGCCATCACCCGGTGAAGAAATGCTCCTTAACTGAGATGCGAATCACATTGGATCTCTATGTTTTGATTCATAACAGTAACAGATTTACAGTTATGAAGTAGCAATAAAAATAATTTTATACTTGGGGTCATCACAACATGAGGAACTGTATTAAAGGGTCACAACATTAGAAGGTTGCGAAGCACTGCTCTAGATGACTCATAAAAACTAAAATTACATCCTTCTACACTTTTCAAAGTATAAACACATTAGTGGATCCAGTTGAAAACAGAAATCATTCATGCAGCAACTAATTGTTACTTACCAACAATTTTATCAACTGTGTCGTGGTCATCAAAAGTCACAAAAGCAAATCCTCTCTTTTTCCCACTCTGCCTGTCTTCCATAACTTCTATGGTTTCAATCTTGCCATACTTTTCAAAGTAGTCTCTCAGGTTATACTCTTCTGTGTCCTCTTTAATACCACCAACAAAGATTTTCTTCACTGTTAAATGGGCACCAGGTTTTACAGAATCCTGCAAACAAAATAATTTTAAGTCAAAAAAACCAAACTCTTACAGCCCCATAAGTCATACAACATGTTATTAAAATACCTCTCTAGAAACGGCTCTCTTTGGTTCCACCACACGCCCATCAACTTTGTGTGGCCGAGCACACATTGCAGCATCCACCTCTTCAACACAAGAGTAGGTCACAAAACCAAAGCCCCTGGAACGTTTTGTTTGGGGATCTCTCATTACCTACAAAATAAAGGAACAGAAGTATTTACATAGTCCTATAGGTTCCCACCTGTTCCTAAGACCACCCTTTCACCAAGAACTCACCACACAGTCTGTAAGTGTGCCCCATTTCTCAAAATGTTCTCTTAAGCTATCATCTGTGGTTTCAAAGCTCAGACCACCAATAAACAGTTTCCTCAACTGTTCTGGTTCCTTTGGATCATGGCCCTGAGAAAAAAAGATCAGCACAGTTTTATTTTTTTCTTGAAGCAAATTTTATGTCACGTGAGTCTCAAAATTTTTAACATTAATATCCCAACTAAATAAATCTGCTCTACGCTGGGCATGATAGTACACACCAGTTAATTTCAGCGTTTGAAGCAGAGGCTAGCTTGGGTCACATATCCAGTTCAAAGCCAGTATAAAATACATAGTGGGTGGACTGTCTTAAAAATAAAAAAACCCCACTACAATGGTACCTGGGGTCATTTTAAAACATTATTAACTCAACTGAACCCCAGAATTAAAAAACAAAACTCTTTTGACTGCTACAACTAAAAGGAATGTATTTCAGATGTTTGTAACAAGTCATGCATGGGGGGGCCACGACCCGAAAAGTCAGCATCATCCACCCATGGCCATTGCCACTATCCTCAGTCTGCAACACCAACAAACCCTTCATTTTAAAACACAATCTACAAAATGCAACTTAATAGGTTTGTGTGGCAAATTCGGAAAAATTCAGATTTCCAGCAAATCGGTTATTTAAAAGACATTCCTAAGCAAAACAGACATCCCATAAAGAACAAAAAACACCTCTATGGGTTAAACCCCGTAGTGCTGAGAGCTAGGTGCTGATGAGCACGCTAGAATGAACTTGAGGCAGCCCTCCTACACCTCAGCCTTGCACGTGCTAGGGTAACAGGCGTGCATCATCACACCCAGTTGCAGGACTTCGCTTTCTGTAATCAATTGAACTTGCTGTATGCCCACTTAAAACATATAGTAAAATGATTTCAAACACTACATACACATGCATATAATTGGAATTTACGTCACCGTAAAGTATAATACCGTCTGCCAGAGGAATTAAGCACAAAACCGTAATCTACTTAGAAAATAGCTAGTATGAATTTTTCATTTTCATGGTTTTAAATTCAAGTGACCTGCTTTTAATGAACGCATTAAGACAAAACACAAATCCTTAAAAGAGACTCATTCACATTTAAAAAACGTCTTCAATCTTCTAGAAATAGAGGTGTTAAAGCATTCAGTGACAAAGGTGTTACATATTACAAACACGTTAAATGATCAACTGCCCAAAGCATCAATTCACTTAGTCCCATTTAGTCAAGCCTCAGATAAATGCATTCGACAATACACAAAAATAACATCTCTGTACACACAAAATCCCCGCAATCGTGAAATTCCCGACTGTGGTCGCAGTTCTCCAAAACCAAAATCCAGGAAACCACAACGGCACCAATCCAAAGAATAAGAAATTAGATTAAGTATTAACAGCTCCAAATAAACACATTACCTACACGCAAATCCTGAAGCAATTAAAACTTCAACCGCCAAGACCCTATAAGTACTTTCCTTCCAAATACTTGAGCGAAAAGGAGCGGGTTAGGAAGCACCTTAAAGCGGCAAGCTTTTCAGTAATGCACCCCCAAACGAGCGCGGAGAGAATCCGGCAAAAGAACTGCGCGAATCGTCATCACCGAGGAGGCCCGAAAGCCCGCTTCCGCGCCGGCAGCACCCCAGCGCAAAGCACCGCGCCCCGAGGCCATCGGCGGCATTTTCTGCCCGGCCGCCTCTCTCGCCGCTCCCTCCAATCCCACGCACTCCCCGGCGGCGTAAAGCAGGCGGCGGCCATTGCGGGCCAATGCGCCATTTCGTAACGCGCCAGCGGATCAATGTCAATGTGGCCGCCGCCCGCCTGCTGCTCGCTCGCCCGGATGTGCGCCTCCCCTCCCCCACCGCCTCCTCCCAACCGCTCCCGCGGAGGCCCGCCATGCCGGCCGCGGCCTCGCCAGCCAGGCCGCATTAGGCCGCGGGCTCCCCTCCAGGCCGCCGACCCCCCTCCCCGGCCGCGCCACGGTCTCCGAGGGCCGCTGGGGCGGCCGACCGAGAGGGCCAGGCCGATCGAGGGCCTCCATGAGGCCGCCCGGCCCGCTTCCCCTCCCCCCCACCGCCCTCTCAGCGCAGAGCGCGGGACGATCGTCCCGGTTCCCTCCGGCCTCCCCGCTCCCATCGAGCCAAAGCCCCCCCCACGCCGGCAACTACCCAGCAACCCCCCGCTCTCCCCCTAATACCTCCTCCCCCCGGCGGCGGCGGCGACGGCCGGAGTCAGGCTGGGGGCGACCGGGCGGCGGTTTTACCTCCATTTTGAGACCGGACTCGCCTCTTCCAACTCGAGTTCAATATGGGACCGAGAGGAAGAGGCGGGGCTAGTCATCACGTGACGCCCTTTCCGCGCGCTGCCCGCCCACCGGGGGCGGAGTTGTGCCTACGCGGAGCTCGATTGGACGGGAGGGTTGGCGGGCCGAGAGCGGAGCGTAAGGATTGGTCGAGCCGCGGGAGCGCGCGCGCGCCGCACCGACTTCCAACGCAGCACCGCCCCCTCCGCGGTTCGCGCCAGGCAACTGGGGCACGTCAGTGGCAGCTCGACCAATGGGAAGCGCCCACGTCGGGAGAAAGCCGCGTGACCGCGCGTTGGCCGGGAGAAAGGCCTTTTCCCTTTCTTTTGGCGCCTCCCGCCCCTCCCCCGTGCGCTGCTGAGTCTCCATTTCCGAGGTCACCCTACTCCAGTACCCTATGGAAAACCACGCGGCCCGAGAGCCGCTGAGCCCTTCGCCCCCGTTGCGGGGATCTAAGTGTCTGGGGCCCGGCGTGCGTGCACAGTGCGACTGCGCCGTCTCCTTACGAGGCCCGGGCTGCTAGCCCTGCGGCCTTGGCGGGAAAACGCGGCCGATTTAATGAGGTTTACTCTTCCGGCCTCCCGCAGATTGTAAGAATTCAAGCTTTTATCAATCCGAGGGGAAGGAACAGAATCATGTGTTTGGGGTACAGAATTTTAGAGAATGGAAGGATTGCCAGAGTTTGTAACGAGGCTTTGTGGCCAGCTAGACTACCTGCTGACTAGTGATTTGAGTCTTTTTAAAATGATGTCTGTTAAAAGTTTCACTGTGAAGCACGTGAATGAACTAGAAATCGCATCTTTTCTCTGCCTGGCAAAGGGATCTGAAGAAATTTGGATTTTAGTTTTTCAAAAAACAGTGAACATAGGATTAGATATCTCCCAACACCCATGATAACCGTAAATTAACAATACGGATTTTCAGGAGTGGTTTGGCACACCTCTAGGCCACCCTGAAAGGCAGAAGCAGGTGGGTCTCTGACCTAGAGTTCCAGGACAGCCAGTGCTATATAGTGAGACCCTGTTTCAGATAAAAAAAAAAAAAAAAATTAAAATTACTGGAGGAAAGAAAAGCACAATTGACAAGCCTTGTCTTGCAACAAATCGCCTGTTTTAACTTAACATTCCGCCTAACAAGTTCCTTTAGAAATTATCTGTCCCTTTCTGTGAAAGACTGAAAATAGATTCAGGTGGTGGTACAGGCCTGAGGAGGCAGAAGCTAATGGATCTCTGAGTCTGAAGCCAGCCTGGTCTACAGAGCAAGTTCTAGGACAGCTAAGGCTACACAGAGAAACTGTCTTGGAAAAATGGATTTAGGTATGTTCTAACTTGCTTGCCTAGAATGTATCAGGCTTTTGCCTGGATCTTCATCTGAGCAACGTGACACAGCCCCTAATCACGCATTTGTGGGGTGGCCTTAGGAGATCAGACAATTGAGGACAGCCAGGTGTGGTACCTGACACTTTTAATCCCAGCAATCAGGAGACAGATTCACAAGAATCTCTCTGAGTTTCAGACCAGACTGGTCTACACAGCTAGTTTCAGGACAGACAGCTACACAAAGAAGCCCTATCTCAAAAAAGAAAAAGTTCAAGGACATTCACAGCTACAAGGGGGACTGTGAGGCCACCCTGGGCTGCCCGACACCGCTTCTAGTCTGCTCTCTGTTGCTGTAATTAACAGCAAGACCAAACACAGCTTAGAAGAGGAAATGGTTCAATTCCAGGATGTGGTTCACCACTGAAAGCACTGAAGCAGTCCTAGATCTCACTCTGTAGACCAGGCTGGCCTTAAACTCACAGAGATCCTCCTACCTCTATTCCCGAATTCTGGGATTAAAGGCGTGGGCCACCACTGCCCAACTAGCTTTCGTTCTTTTTTTTTTAATCCTTGGTTTTTCCAGACAGTTTCTGCGTGTAACCCTGGATGCCCTGGAACTCACGCTGTAGACCAGGCTGGCCTTGAACTCACAGATCCGCCTGCCTCTGCCTCCTAAGTGTTGGGACTAAAGGAGTGTGCCACCACCGCCCAGCTAGGAAGGACAATCTTAAAGACCTTCAATAATGATATTCAAACTGTGCTTCCTCTGAAAAATACTGCCAGGGTGATTGGTAAGAACTACATGGCATTTTATGTTTGTCTAGGAATTTTTTTTTCTGTCTTTCTTTTTGTAGTTTGACCATTTTGATAAAGTTTGGGAGAGAAGAACAAAGTAGGCAAGCTGTAAATCCCAGCCCCTGCTGGAAAGAGAGACAGAGAAGAGCAACAACACTCCTTTCGAGTAGTGCATGGAGGTGGGCAAGCATCTGTAGAAGAGTGGAGTGTGGGATATGTCCTTCAGAGAATCCGAAGTCCAGTGTGTCTGTGAAAGCATGGTTATAGGCTCTGGGCGGAATCCAAAAGAAAGAGAGCTGCCGGACAGTGGTGGTGCATGCCTTTAATCCAAGCACTGTACAGAACGAGATTCAGGACAGACAGAGCTGTTAAACAGAGAAATCCTGTCTTCAAAAACCTAAATAAATAAGAGAGAGAGAGAAAAAAAGTTACACGATTTGAACTCGGGAAAGGGGGCAGGCCTAGCAGTGAAGATCTGCAATCTGTCTCTCTGCATGTTGGCATGTTGTCTCCCCAAGTTTTTTGGTTTTTTGGGTTTTTTGTTTGTTTGTTTGTTTTCGAGACGGGTTTTCTGTGTTGCTTTGGAGCCTGTCCTGGAACTCACTCTGTAGATCAGGCTGGACTCAAACTCACAGAGATCTGTCTCTGCCTCCTGAGTGCTGGGATTAAAGGCGTGCACCCCCACCGCCTAGCTTGGGTTTTGTGCTTTAAGACAGGGTCAGCAAGACCCAGTAGTGCTGGCCTGGAGTTCACACTGCAGGTCAAGCTGGCAAAGACCCCACCTATGGGTGAGTACTCATTCCCAACTATTTTTCCAAGCTTTTTCCCCCTTAAAGTACCTCCAGTTCTTGTGCCCAAAATATCGCACATATAATATCTCTGATCTAGCTCTTGACCCTATGAACCTTGTCTTCTGTCAATCCTTGTAGCCCTAACTTTTTTTTTTTTAAGACGGTTTCCATATGCAGCCCTGACTTGCTTGAAATTCGTTATGGAAACCAGGTTGAGTAGAACTCACAGAGAATCACCTGCTTCCGCCTCCCAAGTCCTGGGATTAAAGGCTGTTACCAAGCCTAGAAAATAATTAGAAATCTTTGAGATGGTGTTTTTATACAGCCCAGGCTGGCCTTGAACTCACTATGTGATCCTGAACTTAAAAACTAACATCACGTTTCAAAGCTCACTAGGGTAAGTAGCAAGCGATCTGGCGCCATCTAAGTAATGGCTGATTTAAAATTTTCATAACATCTTCTTTATATAATTGTGATTAAAAATAAGATGCAAATTATTAGGGAAGATATTGCACATGGAATTTGCATAAAACTAGCAAGTAAAAATATCCATTTTGTTAATGATCACTTTGAACTTGGTCTTGTGACTATATTTTCCTATTGAGTTTTATGGTTAGAATGACTTTGTGCAGCTTTTGATTCAGACTTTCTAATGATGAGTCCCTCATATTCTGGATACTCATTATCATTGAGGGCCTCTGATCACATAAGTGGGTAATAAAATATTTAAAACCACTTTACACCACCATTCAAAATTTACAATTATAATTTTATTTAAAGAATCAAACAACTTTTCTTTTTATTGACGAATGTAATGTCATTTCATGTATGGATTTCAAACCCAATAGAACAATTTTATATTAATATTTCTACTTTGAGCCAGACATAGTAGCCAGTAACCACAACCCTATAATCCCCGAACCTGTGCGGCTGCAGCAAAGATAGGGAGATCAGAAGTAAGTTCAAGGCCAGTCTGTGCTACATAAGACCGTATTACCCCTCCCCCCATATTTAAACTGTATATTGAAACTCTAGCTTTCAGAATACACTTGCCCTGACAACAAGCTGGATGCCCTTGAAAGGGCACAGCACTGTGGCTGTTGTGGGGTAGAGTGCTTGAATATTATCTGCAAGTGCCAAAAGATAAAAAAATGGTTCAAAGGCATTGACTACTCCAAAGGAATAGTAATTGTCACTACACATTCTGACAGGGACTACGAGCAAGCGTTTCCTGAGCTGAGCCCACCAGAAACCACTCGGCTCTTCTCTCCCTTACCGACAGCCCAGCCCTACGTACCTGGTTTCCAAACCCATGTACTTACTGGCTCTAAAGTCTGGTCTACAACAGTCACTAGGATGTCTTAGTCATATTCGATGCCGAGCTTCGCGTATACCCAAAACACTCTGTTATACCAATATAGCTCATCTCCAGTCCGGGTATACCCCATAGACCACTGTAGGACATCAGTCCTGTTATTATTCTCATTCTTTGGAGGTGAGTAAGCAAAGGGAAACCGAGTGAACTGGGCAGATGAACCTCAGACCTCAGCTGAGTGTGATCTTCAATTCCTAAAGGACTCTTTTTTCTTTCTTTCTTTCTTTCTTTCTTTTTTTATATTTTGTTTTGTTTTGTTTTTCGAGATAGGGTTTCTCTGGAGCCTGTCCTGGAACTAGCTCTTGTAGACCAGGCTGGCCTCGAACTCACAGAGATCCACCTGCCTCTGCCTCCCCAGTGCTGGGATTAAAGGCGTGCGCCACCACCGCCCGGCAAATTCCTGAGACTCTTATCAACGCCTAAGTGTTAGGATCCCAGGCCTCTGACACCCCCCAGCCCCTTTGTTCATAATCAAACATTGATATGGAATTTCTCATTCTGGTCTTACATCTACTAGAGACATATCTCATAAGCATTGGGGTTCATATTTGTACTCCCAGTCTTCAGAAGGCTAAGGCAGATGACTCATGATGTCATGGTTACAGAGTAGGACTGTATCTCATACACATACATACATACATACATACATACACATATACGGGAGTGGTGGTGCATCACCTTTAATCTCAGTATTTAGGAAACAGAGGAAGGCAGATTTCTGGAACTCTAAAACCAGCCTGGCCTACAAAGCAAGTTCCAAGCT